GCGGTGGTTCCCCTACAGGGGTGAATCCACCTAGAAATTATACTGCACCTCCACAAGTTCCACTTGGAGTGCAATATCAATATTTCCATGGTGTCCTCCCCTTAGGTCCTGGATGAAGCAGATATATCCTGGGAAGGGGTGATTTTGATTGACAAGTAGGAGGGTAGAGTTACATATGGGGGCTTGTGATAAATTCCAGCGCAGCGTATCTGAGCTAGCTATCTACCTACCTCACATCAAGCTGAGTGTTCATAAGAAGAACAGTTGGTTTCTCAGGAGTGAACTAGGAATCAGGTCTTGAGGGATGATTTGTCATTTCTTGGATGGCAAAGAAGCAAGGAGAGGGGAGAACATTCTAGCAGAAGGAACCAGTGGGAAAAAAGGCTTGGAAGCACACCCATGTGGCTTGGAATTTGGAGATAAAAATTATTGGGGTTCTATATCCTTGTCACTGAAATTTACATCTCTTACCCTTGGATAACCATTGACACTTAACTAGGTGACCTAATAACATCCTGATGTAATGGAAAGTTTGCTTAAGGTTTTGCTGAACACAAGTAAGTTCTCTATGTGTTCTTAAACTTCAGTCTTTAGTATTTGTGATGATGAAGGGAACATGGGTAGGAAATGGACTGAGAAAACTTCATAAGAGGTGCTTTTTGGCTTTGGGACAAATTTTCTGTTAAGGAAATCCCCAAAGGGAAGTACATAGGAGGTTGTAAATTGAATTAAATTACAATGCTCTCCTTTTATTCCCTAACAGTTCTGGGATTTCCGTGGTCTAACGACTTTTTTTTTTTCTGGAATTTCGCCTTAGGCTGAAGGCCACAGGAGATTCTCTGACAGGAAATCTCCTTTAAGAGTAGAGTCTGTTCTTTAAAACACTCTCTCGCCTGGTACTACTAAATAAACCATTTTGGTTCTCTTGTGTTCATGGCTAATTTTTGCTTCTTTTAATGTGATTTAGTTTGGATTTGACTTTGCCCGTAATTGGATATGTAAGGATATCTGTTATAAAGTGGCTTTGAATTTCATGAATTGTCAATAAAAATTCACTACTTTTTTTAACCTAAGAAGTGGCAATTTCATATTGTTCAGCTGAATGTATTTCACCATACAGTAGTTTCTTGTTATTAAAATTGAGGTTAATCAGCTCCTCCTTAGAGATTTCCTCACCATTAACTTTATGGTTAGTCAAAAAGAACTTTTATAGACTTCTCAACATCTTGCAAGTCCATTGCCTTTATTCTATGTTGACTGTCACCATCCTTGTTCAGGCCCCTTTATCTTTCATCTAGATCATCTGAAGTGTCTTTGCGGCCCCCAGTCTTGCAAACAATGCACCAGTTTTTCTTGTTCAGTATGTCTTCCCAGAGCTCCACTCTCAGTGACTTTCAAGTTAGCAATGGAGCCTCCCACAAGACAAGACTCTTGGCTCCATCTTCTCCATCCTGTTCCTTTTCTGTGGCCCATTCCTTGCATATTGAGGTAATTGTCAGTTCATTTTTGGTTTCTTATTTCCATTTTGCATTTGCTCTTCATTGTTCTAGTTGCTTCTGTGGCCATCATTTCTTCCCCTTGTCAGACTACAAACTCTTTGAGGGCAGACAGAGTCTTCCTCAGCTTTGAAAAGCCTGTGGCACATAGCACTAGGATCACCATCTGCAGCCATGTAGGTTTTGAACTGCACAGTTCTGGTTTGGCCATTCTTAGAGACCAGGTTGTGAAAGCTTCCCTGGGAGTCATGAGAGGGCCATGGTTGGCTCAATGCATAGACAGATACATTCTCCATAAGCACTCATGGAAGTCCTATGGATCTAAAACTGTGATAAGTGCTCCTGAAACACTTAAATCTCCAACTTCTACTCTGGATCTTCTCTCTGATCTTAACGGGAAACACAGCCAACCCCGGGGAAGAGATTGTGATTAGAAAGAAGCTCTTGCATTTACAGCAAAGGTTGGTAATGATCTTCCCAAGACTTGCAAATGGCTCCTGCCTTGGGTTCTTACCAACAAGTCTCCTGGCTGTGTTCTCATCGGGGATCTGCGCGGATACCTGTGATAACTTCAGTGGAGGTGATGTTTCCCTGGCTTATTCTCATGGTGGGCAGGGCACATTGGTTTTATTTTCTGACTGGTCTGCCGTCTCACCAGACATACAGGACAAACGATGACAAATCATCCCCCTCAGTGTTCTACCTGGACCTTTTTTTAATGTGAACATCAGGTGCTTCTAGCTTATCTTCATCAAGCCCCTGTTTCCTTTTGTCATGGTGTTTCAAACATAACTAGAAAAAAAATCACACAGTTACTGGCTTTCAGAGTTTGGGAGGGATTGCATTATGTGGCCATTTTCAAGAGAAAATGATACGTTTGAACCAAGGAGTGATTACAACTTGATGGGGGTCAGATTGGCTTTTGGAGATGCTTCTTAGGTGTGGAGAGGAGTCGTGAGTGAGGCAACGGCTCAGATTTGCGTAGCACATGAGAAAACTGGCTGCCCTTGACCAAGACACATGGTGCCAAGGAGACGGTCCTGCACTTCTCCTGATGGGATATGAATAGTTAGGCAGATAGCGAGGCCCAGGTGAGCTGGAATTCTCACCAGGTCTGCAATGTCATGTTTATTGCTTTACCTGTCAGTCTACAATGCCCAGCTTCCCAGGATGCAAGGAGACACTATGATGACCACACAGGTGTTCAACTCCACTTGGACGTGCATGCTTCACGCACACCAAAACCCCATCCCATCTGTTTACTCAATTAAGGCACCACCCCTTACCTTATGACACCGGCTGAGAGTGGAGGAAGGCCAGGTTTTGTCTCAGACTACAGTTGGGAGTGCTAGTCAGGCTTTTTTTCCTCTCATTTTATGCAACCCTCTGGCCCATTCACGATGACTGTTTTTCCATGTGGGGTGGCCCACACTCACATGTGAATGAATATTCATTCTCTCACCTTTCAATAAATCCTGTTCTCACTTCTGCACCTACATGTGCCTCTGCTTAGAATTCTCATCTCTGTGCCAGGCAAGACCCTGGATTGAAAATTTAGGTATGGGGCCCACAGCAGTACAAGTGTCAAATTTGGAGAAAAGTTCATAGGGATATTCTCCCAAGGATATCCTCCCAAGGGAAACATGAAAGGGCAAACTGGCAACAACTGATTTAGGAACAGAGCTGAAATGTAAAGTTTCCTGTGGGAAAAAGAAGCAAATATTTAAAACATTAGAAAGAGAATGCCATGGGGAATTTCAACCCTTCTTCAATGCAGTATGTCTTGGCGTAAGTACAAGAACAAGGCTGGAATTATTACTGCTCCCAAACAGGGCAGATGGAGCCCCAGTGACCTGCTCGGGCAGAGGCTCCCATCCAAACTTCTTAATGGGGTGTGTGTGTGAGAGAGAGATTTTGTTGACATACATCTCAACATAGCACTTGCACTGAAATTTGGAGTGAGAATGAAAAAGAAATGAGGGAAGTGAGAAACCATGAGTGGTTTTTCTGCCCAGAGTGTGGGAAAGGGCGCCGAAGCCAGAGGGAAGCAGCAGAGACTGTGAAGTGTGTGTAGGGGGCTCCAGAGCCTGTGCCTTGGGGCCAGCTGAGAAGGACCCTGAGTGCAGAGCCTGCCGGAAACGTTGATTTACTCTTGCTGCCTTCTGGAGTTATTGCTGCTCCCAAACAGGGCAGATGGAGCCCTGGGCCTGGGGAACCCCAGCTCCCATTCCAGCCTCTGGAGGCTTGTTGACTCCCAGGCAAACGTGAAGGAACTGAGAGGAGGCCCCTCTGTTCCAGGAAGGAGGGCAGGCACCTCGTCTCCCTGGGCCCCTAGTCATCCTCAGTCTGCTGAGCATCAGTGGAAGCTTCTCCCGCTCTCCTCCTGTTTCACCTCTCCCTGCATTCAGCACGTGACCTGACGCCAGGATTTGAATATCGTTTGTCCCTGGGAAACTCATGTTGAAATGTGGTTGCCAAGTGGCAATGTGGGGAGGTGCTTAGTTTATTGAAGGGATTAATGCTGCACTTGAGAGACTAGGCTAATTCTTATGGGAGTGAGCAAGTCCTCATTCCCATGTGTGATTTTCTCTCCCAGTTGCACCAGCCTACTCTCCCTTATTTCTGCCATGTTAAGGCTCAGCATGGGGCCCTCACCAGAAGCTGAGAAGGTTGCTGGCACCGTGTTCTTATAGTTTCCAGCCACTGGAACTGTGAGCTCAAATCAGCCTCTGTTCTTCCTCAAGTGCCCAGTCTCAAGTATTCTGCTAAAGTAGAAGAGAATGGGCTATTGGTTTGGAGAGTGAGTCCTCTGGCTTCCTCCCTACCCCTGAGAGATGAAGTGTGGTTTTGCTTCCTCTGATACTGCAGCTCTTCTGGCCATTCCAGGAGGAAGAGGAAACATATTCATCTTGCTTCTATGCCCTCGGTCTTTGCATCACGCTTATTAGAAGTATGATTCAGTCTAATGGGCCAAGCCCATCATGGTTTAAAGATGACTGTTTTGCATGGTTTTCAGCGTGTCTGGAGTGTGCTTCAAACTCAGGCCCTCTGCCCAGATGCACACTCTCTTGCAGGGCCTAGACCCACTGGGTGGGCTTTGGTGAGCACGAAGGAATGACTGACCAGCACTCTCATCAAAATTCCGGAAGCCCTGGGTCCTTCCTTCTGGATGAAAAATGTGTAAGGCAGTGAAGGGAATGTGAAGGAGTTTCCTGTATTCTGTGTCCTCGGTTTTGGGTTTGTTGTTGGTGGTGTTTTTTGTTTGTTTGTTTGTTTGTTTTTTGCATCAAGGCATTGCTTCCATGTTGGCCAAGTGTTTTATATTATAGATGCTCACAACATGTTCAGGGTAGGGGAAAGAATTGCTACTATGTCAACACTAACAATGTTAATTTCTGGCAAAGCTGAATTTTCAAAAAATGTCGTTTTTTATTTTCCTCCCCAAAGAGAGGATCAAACAGTCAGCTACTTTTTTAAAGCAGTGATGATTGTTTCTTTTCACAGTGCTGAATGCTAACACAGGAAAGAACGCATGGACCTGCCACAGTGTGAGTTAACTGATGTATTGAATTTGAAATTATTGATAGATACTGCCAATATGGTAAGATGTTCTACTTGAAATTGCCCACATTCCAAGACTGGCACTATCTAGCAACTTTTCTTGTTTTATTTTTCTCCACAGAACTTATTGTTTTAGGATGTACTCTATGTTTGACTTAGTTTAGACAAAATGTTTTCCTCTCTCCCTTTCTCTCTTACACACACACACACACACATCCCAGAATATAAGTTCATGAAGGCAAAATTTTATTTTTGTCTGTTTTAGTCACTGCTATATTTACTGTACTTAGAAGAATGCATGAAACAGAATGGCATGAAGTGAATACCATTTGATCTATATAATGAGTGAATATAATATATATGAGTATAATGAGTGAATGCCATAGAAGGTGGTGCTTTCGTCGAAGCACAGATTTCACTCTTCCAAAACCACACACTTGGAAGTCAGATCACCTGTTGCACAGTGAGATTTCATCTTTCTTGATACGAAGATCAAGACCAACAGTATGGTCATGCCTGAGAATGTAGAAACACCAAGGCACCTTCTGAGCAATCTTAGGTTCCATGTTCGTATACCAAGCAACAGTCCAGCACCACAAAGGGAACATGAGAGAACAGAGACAGGATGAGAGATTCCACTGCTCCATGCACAGTTGACAATTACCCCTCTCCTTATCCTCAAGTAGTGCAAACCACAACTTTCAACTGATGTGGAGGGGAAGGATAAAGAGCAAAATCTTAAAGCCAGTTGTAGAAAAATCTGTAAACTTCTGTGGTATGTTTCACATCTCTTTGAAGGGAAGTTCTTCTACAGAGTGTGATGGTGGTTGGTCTAACTTCTCTAAATGCATGTATGCTGTGCACATGAGAGTGTTCATTCCTTTACTCAACAAACATTCACTGACTCCCATTCTTCACACAACCCTGTTCCAGGCACTGGGGCTCAACTACGAGCAAGACAGAAAAAAACTGTTGCCTTTTCCATGCCTGAACCTTTCTAGTTTGCAGCTAGTCAATATGTATTTTTGGCGTTTGGGGCCACGTGGTCACCACTGCAGACAACATGCTAATGAACGTCCATGACTACATGTGAAGGAAACTTTATTTTCCAAGAGATGTGGCAAGAAAAGTTTATTTACAAAAAGGGATGTGTCCCTTAGGCAGCAGCTGTTGGCTGACCCTTGCTTGGCTTTGTTGCATTATGTTCAGATGTTAGAGATAGGTCTGAGATAAAGCTTACGTTTTGGAGTCAGATCTCTGTATAGCTTGCACACAAAGCTGTATGACATTTCCATGCTGTTTCTGTGCCCTGCTTTGGCAAGCACTACTGTTAGGAAGAAGGGTCCAAGTTACCCCGTGGCGATCACTCTTCTCTGCCTCCAGATGCTTCCTTTGTTCTCCCCAGCTCCTCTCCTCTGTCTCTCTTTCCCACTTCTTTCTGCTCAGAGGCTGTTTGTGTGGTCTAAACCAAAGCAATTTCTACCTCCTTGCTGTCTTTGGGGTCCAATCAAGGGAGATTCCTGGTAAGAGATCTGAAGGAAGGAAGAAAGTGGGGCTGGAGTAGTTACTACCCTGATTCTTATCCCTGGGCTGGCTGCAGCCTTCGACCCAGGGCCGATGCCTTTCACCAGGCAACCAACTGACCAGACCCCTTCTGTCTTCTGATACTATATGCACACACTCTCCTTGTTCCCCCAGATTGGGGGCTGGGGACAGCTCTACAGCCATATCTCTGTGTGACCCTGCACTTTTGTAGCTTAGTCATTTTATAAATAAGCTCTTCCTGGATTATCCCAATTTACTTGTGCCATCTGTTCCTGTGGGGACCCTGATCGATGCAACAGATTCTGGCTTTTGGCACTGCCATTACTGTGTCCCCTGGCAGAGGGCAGGAAAGCTGCAGAGAGGCTTCTAGAAACTTCTCATGAAAACTATCTCCAACAAGGCCTCTCTAATTGCTAAAGCATCCAAACATCGAGTCTCTATGAACACGATGTTCTCCTGATGAAAGAAGTCTAGCATAAGCCTTAAAACTAGATGTCAGTTTTATCTCAGGATCTGACAGTGGCCAGGCTATGTGAGCATGGCTGCAAACCAAACAGGCTCAGGAGAGAGCTCGGACTCGAGGCAGAGTTCACGAGTCTTAGCAGCTCATTGCCACCGGATCTTAGAGCAACTTTCCAAGCTCTATGGAGATCCCAGTCAGAGAAGGTAGCAGACCCCACACCCATTTCTGGAAACAACTTGCTGAACTGAGCGTAACTGGAGGACCTCAGCATCCCACACTCTTCAGAGATGCTTTGTGTGCTGCTAATGGAGATAGTGGAGCCAGCTTTGTATTCCATCACGGCTCTGTGGATGTGCCCTTGGTAGAAGTGATTTAATCATCATTGGTGTCAGTTCCTTCATTGAAAAACAGGGATTTCAGTGATAATTAAATTGGTTAATACTTAGAAAGGATCTAGAGCAGTGCCTGTACATGGTAAGTACTTCAAACCTTAGGTATTAGAGTGAAGGAAGCAGCCTCTTCCCTCTTCCCCATGTTTGGTGTTGAAATCGTGCTTGCAGTACCCTCCCACCCCAGACACAGCCTCTGCCTCTCTTTTGTGTCCAATGAAAGGACCTGTTGTCAGGCATGGTGACCTGTAAGCTCTGCAGAGATTTTTATATTGGGTCATAATTTCCTAAGAGTGTGTTACTCAACTCTCAGCAGCCATCCTTGCCGCGTCTTACATTGTGTTAGGAGCCGAGGACGTAGCAATGAACAAGAAAGCCCAACCCTCAGCTTCGTGAAAGTGCTACAGAAAGATAAAGCTGGGCCTTAGAGATCTCGGGCTTCACAGCTACATTTAATTTAAGACCCAGCCCCTTGAGAAAACTCTGCTCAACACCTGGCCTTCTTACCTCTGCCGAGCACAGGGCAGCTAGCTACAATGGAGCTGTGGCTTAGTACACTTTCCCCATCAAGACCCTTATGCCTTTCTGTCGATTCCCTTGGCATGAGAGTAAATAGAAAATCACAGGTTCCTTAGCCCCTTTCTCAAAAGGGTCCTCTGCCAGCACAAATGGATTTTCAATTTAAAGGACTTGAAATAAGAAAAAAGCTTCTCATTGCTTTTTCTACAGTGAACATGTACTGTTGTTGAAGTGAGAGCTAAAGATTTTCTAATTTTAAAAGAGTTTATAGTTGCGATACAGAGGATCCTTATTAAAGTTTCATCAAGAACATCATACACAGGACACACCACAAGTTAACAACACTGATAAAGTTTGTAAATGGTGTTAAAACAATTGGAGAAAATTGTCAGCATTCATGCTCCACTTTTTCACTTCAAGTTGAGAACTAGAAGCCGCAGGATAAAGGGATAGACCCCCACAGGCCATACAGGCAGGTGACTGTGAAGTAATCTGAGAATATCTCCAAGGAAATCAAAGGTGCCAAAAAATAGTTTTGTTCACAAGTCAGACAGTGAGACTTGTAGAAAATGCCCTTAAAATCTCAAGGCAGCATTCCTTTTTACTTGCTTTTAGAAAACTAAAATTGATACTTGTTACCTAATCATCTTTGATGCATTGCTCCTCATTCTCATTTTCTAGCAGAAAACAAAATCCCTGCTTCTAAGAAAGGGACTGTGCTGGGTCATTTTTAATTTCTCAGGATATTCGCGGCTACCTTTTTCTCTCCTGCCACAGTTCATAAAGATACAGCATCAGCTGTCTCTGCCTCTCCCTGTAACTCTCAAATAAATAAGTAAATAAAATCTTAAAAAGAAGGAAGTTGTTGGTGACAGTTGTTGTCAGCAGGGCAGTAGAGTTTGTTCCACTCAACAGATATTGAGGCAGTACCTGAAAACAGCAAACTACTTTGAAGTGACTTAACTTCATCCAAGAATAAAACTCAGTTAGGTTCACAGGAAAAAGAAAAGCTAGCCAATATACAACATTGTAATGAGCACGATGCCTGGAACCTTATCAGAAATGTTCATGCATGCAGAGGAGCAGGGAGACCAACCCAACCGCGAAGATGAATCACTGAAGCAAAACCAGCTCAGAACTGGCAGAGGCCTGCACTGCGGCTCACTAGGCTAATCCTCTGCCTGCGGCGCCAGCACACCGGGTTCTAGTCCTGGTCGGGGCGCCGGATTCTGTCCCGGTTGCCCCTCTTCCAGTACAGCTCTCTGCTGTGGCCCGGGAGTGCAGTGGAGGATGGCCCAAGTCACTGGGCCCTGCACCCGCATGCGAGACCAGGAGAAGCACCTGGCTCCTGGCTTCGGATCAGCGCCGGCCGCAGCGCACAGGCTGCAGCAGCCATTGGAGGGTGAACCAATGGCAAAAGGAAGACCTTTCTCTCTGTCTCTCTCTCTCACTGTCCACTCTGCCTGTCAAAAAAAAAAAGAACTGGCAGAGATGTTAGTGGAGAGAAGAGAGAAAGGACACAGCAACTGTTGCTGTAACTGCATTCCCTACATCCCTAAAATAAGTAAAAACATCCAAGTTATATGAAAATACTTCATAAAGAGCATAGGGAATGGGTATTACATTAAAAATGTGCTTGGAGTTCATAGAGGGTTTTTTATACCACAATGAGCTTAACTTTTAGTTTTATTTTTCTGTGAACTTTTTGAAGTCCCTCGTATACTCAAATCTAATTTCTGCTGATAAACTACAATGTGTGTGACCAAAAAATATATGAAAGAAGGAATAACAGTAGACTAAACATTTCAGAAAAACAGCTAGTGAAACACAAGATACAGCAATAAGATTTATATAGTGCCAAAATAGAAGTCAGAGAAAATCAAAATTAAATATCTGTGGACAGAGATCAGTGAGAAGTGAGACAACTTCAAAGGGCTGAATATACCTGTTGTTGGATTCCTGAAGGAAAGGAGAAAGGGTAAACACAGGAAAAGACTGAATAGTAAGGTCACAATGTCTCCCAATTTTGTTGTAAGGTACAAATCCACAGATTCAAGAAGTTCAACCAACTCCAAGCACAAAAATCATGAAGATAGTTACACCATGGTACGCAGTAATCAAATTACTTTAAACCAGTGGCAAAGAGAAAAATCTTGAAAGACTATAGAGGAAAAACAGATATTAGGTACAGAAAGTCAAATAAAAGAATTACAATATATTTCTCATTAGAAATCATAAATGAGAAGGCAATGGGACATCTTTAAAATATGGGGAATGGGATGGGTTGCAAGTCCTTGTTAATGTAGAATTCTATGTGCCATGTAAATATTAATGATAAATATTTTTTTCAACATGCAAAAGCTGAAAGAAGGTATAATCTGCAGTCCTGCGCTACAAGAATATTAAACAGAGCCCTTTAAGCAGAAGAAAAACAATACTAGAGAGAAATACAAAGGAATTTGGAGCACCAGATGGTAAGGGTATGAGTAAATATATAAATATCTTTAAAGGTAATTGCCAGTATAAACAAAAATAACAGTGCACTGTGGGTTTATAGTGATGTAAAAAACCCAAAATAAAAAAAAGTGAATGACAACATTAGCACAAAGGCAGGGGGTAGAGAAATGGAAGTATACCTTTGTAAATTCCAATGCTGTGATTAAATAGAGCCAGGGCTAGGATGAGGCAAGGGAGTGCACTTGCCATGGGCACTCAAATTTTTTTCCCATTTTTTTAAAATTTAATAAATGTGAATTTACAAAGTGCAACTTTTGTATTGTTGTGGCTCCCCCCCCTCCAACCTCCCTCCCTCCCGCGGCCCTCCCCTCTCCCACTCCCTCTCCCATCCCGCCCTTCATTGAGTTTCATTTTCAACTATCTTTATATACAGAATGGGCACTCAATTTAAAGATACTACAAAAACACAGTAATGAAGGTAAGTCCAAATGTGACACAGTAGTTTGAAATATAAAAATTAGTATAAAAATCCATGATGAACAAAATATCAAAATTTAAATAAAGAAGTGTTGTACGAAGCCATACTAAAACTTGAAGCAAAAGGAAAATTTAGTAATAATGATCCTGTCTTTATTTTAAAATTTGCTATTTTGTTCATCATGGAATTTTTGCATTAATTTTGATTTTTAAAATATGGCATTAAATTATACTGATTTTGATTGCTGAGCTTTTGGAGTATCCTATTTTTTTTTAAACTGAGATCTAGCCCTGGAATCATTTCTGGTTCTGGAGTAGAACTCAGTTAATCACATTTTTCTTAATGTCTTGTTATCATCTCACAAGCTTAGAACTGAGAGTACAGAAATCATTTTAGTCTTTACCTTAGCAGACAGAATTCTTTTTATTTTTATTTTATTTTTTTGACAGGCAGAGTTGGACAGTGAGAGAGAGAGATGGAGAGAAAGGTCTTCCTTCCGTTGGTTCCCCCCAAATGGCCGCTACAGCCGGCTAGCAGCGCTGATCCAAATCCAGGAGCCAGGTGCTTTCTCCTGGTCTCCCATGCAGGTGCAGGGCCCAAGCACTTGGGCCATCCTCCACTGCACTCCCTGGCCACAGCAGAGAGCTGGCCTGGAAGAGGGGCAACCGGGACAGAATCCGGTGCCCCAACTGGGTCTAGAACCCAGGGTGCCGGTGCCACAAGCGGAGGATTAGCCAAGTGAGCCATGGTGCTGGCAGCAGACAGAATTCTTTATGAACTCAACGAGCTAGCTCTAGTTTTGTCTTCTTCCTCCCACCCTCCCTCCCTCCCTTCCTTCGTTCCTTCCTTCCTTCCTTCTTTGATTCTTACCAGAACTACATGTAGGACTCATATCTAACCCAGACCTGTTTTACCAGGGAAGGTTTCCTGGAAAAAACATGACAAGCTGAAAACAAAAGGCTAGAAAGAATACAAAAACCTTCAGGTGGAGAGAGCAGCTTTAAAGAGAGTGGGATATTAAAGAAACAGAGTGATGTTTGTAGCAGAGAGGGCTGTGGTAGTAGGTTGGGGTGTGGTGAACTGAGAGACCGATTGTGGAGTACCATAAGTAAATTTCAAAGTTCCAAACTATTGATTTTATCTGGCCTAAAAATAATTACAATTGACTTGCATAGTATTTTAACATTTTTAACAATTAGTTGGTAGAATTTAAAAATTAGAAGATTTTTGTATAAATATATCTATTTCTGGGGTACCTTTTAAAATAAAACTAGAAGCATTGGTTTTGCTGAAGACATGTGTTTTTGGGGAAATTGGAGATGACTAGGAGAAGGTTCTTCTAGACAGGGTACTTATTCCCTGTTTTGTCACAGTTCGCTGCATTCCATGTTGTCGTAATAATGCTGTCACTTCTTGTATCAAATACCCAAAGACATTTGAATTTGTAAACCCTATTACAAGCTGATGCATCTGAACCACTTTAGTTACAGTATTGTAATGATACAAGTCAACTTAAAAAATGAAATCTATTGGTTTACACAACCAGAAAATCAGTAGATTAGGCCTCAAGCTTAGCTGGATATAATGGCTCAAAGAGTAATATCAGATCTCTCTATAGATAGCTAGGTAGATGGATAGGTAGGTAGGTAGGTAGATTAGATAGATAGATAGATAGATAGATAAATAGATAGAGATACAGGTATAGATACAGATAAATGACTAGATAGACATACATACGGATATCTTGGTTCTGTTTCCTTCTATACATATCCTTTATTTCTCCTATTGTCTCTTCCCACATAGTGGGAAAAATAGCTACAACAGGCTCAGATTTACATTTTTCCAGTAAATAACTTGGGAATTCAGGGAATTCTTTCTTTCCATGTGTCTATCAATTTGTAAAAAGGACTCTGGCTCTGGTTTGGTCACCTGCCTACTCCTCAGTCAAGCACTGGGCCCAGGAAGAATAAGCCTCCATGCTGGAGTCTGTATCCTCTGTCCCTGACCTGTGCACTACACACAGGCTTCTGGCCAGAGGGAATGACTGGGAGCTGAAATCCAGCCCCAATGTGCTCACTGAGCCATGGAACTGCCATGGAACTCCCCCTCCTCCTGGGGGAAGGGGCAACTTTTCCTGTATACAGAGTGGTGTCTGCTTGCGCCAGGTGTATGCATGAGGCTGTTTTCTCTTCAAGGGATTATCTTTTATGATCTATCTGTTTGGGAAGGGTATCTTTTTTTTTTTTTTTTTAAATTTATTTGACAGGTAGAGTTATAGACAGAGAGAGACACAGAGAGAAAAGTCTTCCTTCCATTGGTTCACTCCCCATATGGCCAGGAGCCGGCTGCTTCCTCCTGGTCTCCCATGAGGGTGCAGGGCCCAAGCACTTGGGTGATCCTCCACTGCCTTCCCGGGCCACAACAGAGAACTGAACTGGAAGAGGAGCAACTGGGACTAGAACCCGGAGCCCATATGGGAGGATTAACCAAGTGAGCCATGGTGCCGGCCCCTGGGAAGGGTATCTCACCCTAGATTTCAAAACAGGGGTTGGATCAGCCAGCATATGCTACCTTACCCATCCCGCTCCTCATGAGCTGTGGATCTGCGGTTTCCCAAAAGGCATTTGGGCATACAAGGAATATGTGCTTCCCATGCATGTTCAGAATTTGGATTTTAGTCTATGTATGACAGAGAACCACAGAAGAGTTGTAAACATTACTAAATTGGTAGTTTTGAAGGGTCATTCTGTTTTCCTACCCTGTATGTATGTATTTTTTAGTTTGGAATCAAACATTTCATTCTACTATTTTCACTATAACAAAAGTTTCAGCCATATATATATATATATATTTCTTTTATTAACAGAGACAAAATGAGAAGAAGGAATCAGGAAAGAGAGGGGATGAGTAAGAGTGAGTCAAGAGGCTTTGTATTACAGTCTGGCTGTAGTTAGGAGAACGGTTTAAGAGGAGGCAATACAGGAGACTGTTGGCATAGCCTTGGTGGGGTGGTGGCCTGTCTTCCCTCCTCTTCCCATCTGCCTGGGAAAATTCTATTGACCATTCCAAAACTTAATCATAAAGGCATTTTTCCCCTAAGTATTCTTGGTTCCACTCCAAACTGAGTGTGTTGGTTATTCTCTGTTCTGCTACAATCCTCTCTTGGAGCCTCTGTCTCAGTCTCCCACACTTATTTTCATAAGTATTTTGTTTCTCCATCTACAGACTGAGACTCGGGAAAGCGGAGACTCCATTTTATTTAATCTTTGTGTCCAAAGAGCCTAGCATGGTGTCTTTATGTAGTTAAAGCTAAACCAACGTTTGAAGGATGGATGGACAGAGATGACATAATTTGGTGTTTAGGGGAAGGGTTTGGGATATTTCCGAAGTTCTTAGGTGGCCTGTTGCTGAACGAGGTAAGTTCACTGCCCAGTATGCATAAAGACCAATGTGTGACTGGTCTTTGAGAGAGAAAAGCTTTGTTTGTGTGGCTGACCAGCGCAGGAGACAGAAGAGAGTGCAGTGGGAAGGATGGGGAAAGTTTTGTGTTAGGTAGAAAAAGCTGGTATGTCAAAGTGCTGGTGTGGAACGTTTTGATTGAAGGAACTTGGATTCAGGCCATTTACAGTAGCAACTGCATGGGGCTCCCTTGGTTAATGGGCTTAGCCCTTCTGAAAGGGCTCCCGTGTTTAAGTTTTGGCCATGGCTCTGATCACTCTGGTTCCATAGGCTAGTTGGTTTTTCCATCTGCATTGGTCCTGGTTGCAAGGTTTCTGATTTTTAGCTCTGTGTTCCCCTCTGTACCTGTGTGGCTAAGTATGAAGCATCCCTTCTGAGAAAACAGGAACTTTCAAAATAAGATCACATTCATTGTTAAAGCATGAAGTAAGGATATTTCAGGAAAGGAATGGGGAAATATAACAGGAGACTTTTGAGTTTGAAGTGTCCAGAGGAATCATGGTAAAGGGGGTGGTCCAATATCACTTCCACTGTTATTTGAAATACAGAGTGTAAGAAAAGGAACAAATTTGGTGGCCCACAATGAGCTTGGTCGGGACATGAAGTGTCTATGGCTCGTGAATCACCCCTGGACTAAGAGAATTCTGAACTTCTGAGCTTCAGTATCCTTGTGCATGAAACTGACAGGCTGGAGAAGATCTCCAGGTTAGCTTTAGGTTCTCTGATACTAAGAATAACACTTCAGGGGGCTGGCGCTGTGGCACAGAGATAAAGCCACTGCCTTCAGTGCCGGCATCCCACGTGAGCACTGGTTCAAGTCCTGGCTGCTCCACTTCTGATCCAGCTCTCTGTTTATGGCCTGGGAAAGCCGTGGCACATGGCCCAAGTGCTTGGGCCCCTGCATCCACGTGGGAGACCCCAAAGAAGCTCCTGGCTCCTGGCTTCAGATGGGCCCAGCTCTGGCTATGGTGGTCATTTGAAGAGTGAACCAGTGGATGAAATCTCTCTCTCTCACTCTGCCTTTACCTCACTGTAACTTTGCCTTTGAAATAAATAAATAAATCTTTCTTAAAAAAAAAA